TTAATTTTGACACTGAATCAATTTGTGGCATTTCAAATCTTTATAAATCCTTTGGCCCCGCATACTGTAAATCAACAACTGTTTGTTTCAAAACAAAATTATTCATTTTACGAGTAGATAAAGGCAATTTTGGTATATAAAGATGCCCAAACAGTTAAATAGTCGGTGTAAGGAACTCGTGGCCTCGTTAATGCACTACTTTGAGCAAGAAAGGGACAACAACGGGCCTTTGTTGCCTTTAAATGCTGTTCAAGAGGTAGGTTACTAATAATTATATGTAATGTATATTAATAATAGTGAAATTTTATTTCATTTTTTGTAGCGTGTTGCTGCTGCTTTAAAAATTAGTTTAAGGACAGTTAGTCGTATTTCCGAGGGTGTGAAAAGTGATGCAAATTTAGAATCGCCCAAGAAAAAGCGGAGTTATATTAAACGTGTAACCAACACAGCGACATTGGATACAAGTGCCATTCGAGAAGTGATCTATAATATGTATCACAAAAGTAAGATCTTATTATAATAACTTATCAGAAATTTGCATTAATTTGTTACTAAATTATACTGTCCATATTACACATGGTTTCAGAAGAACAAGTTACGATACAAACTTTATGGTCTCGATTTAAGAGATCGGGCATTATTTGATGGTAGTGCCACGTCTTTAAGGCGGTTGCTTAGAGATCTTGGATTTAAGTGGCTTAAGGACAATCCGCGACGAGGGCTCATGGAACTACCAAGTATAGCTTTGAAAAGGGTGGAATTTCTAAGGCAATACAATCAAGCCAAGGTTGAGGCCTTATACCAGTTTGTCTTCCTCGATGAACTTGGATATTTCAAAATGGGACCATAGGTCGCTCTTGGCAAAATGGAAACCAAAAAAAGCGTGAAAGCTATTAAACAGATGGTAAAAGGTATGTACTTTTACACAATTTGCACTATAAAATTCAAAACTAATATATTTTAGATACATTATATTACATGCTGGAAATGAAAATGGGTTTATTGAGGGTAGTGAAGCGATATTTTCTTCGAAAACAAAATTGAGCGATTACCATGGAGAGATGAACCAGGACAATTTTTTGAAATGGTTTCAACATCAGTTATTAGAAAAATTGGAGAGTCCATCTATGATTATACTGGATAACGCCCCTTATCACAGCATGATATTGAACAAAGTGCCCAACAATGCATGACAAAAAAAAATATCCAAGACTGGTTGACAAATCAAAACATACCATTTTTAAACACAATGTTTAAAACAGAGCTATTGAGTATTGTTGCTCGGTACATAATGCTTCTTAATTATATATATTTTGGTCGACAGTTTATATTTCTTTTGTTTATTCCTATTCTTAAAATAACTGCTTTTTTAGAAACAAACCACCTAAAATATACGTGATTGATGAATTGGCGGAACAACATGGGCACAAAGTTCTTCGTCTGCCTCCTTACCATTGTATATTTAACCCTATTGAGTTAATTTGGGGCATAGCAAAAGGTTACTATAACAGACATATTGGTAGAGATGGTAACAGTGAAAAAGACTGTTTGGATATGTGGAACGAGGCTCTACAAACGGTTACCCCAGACATGTGGAAAAATAGTGTTCGACATACTGAGCAAGAAATTTTTAAATGGTATGAAAGAGAACGAATTTTTGATCGACCAGACATCGATCCTTAATAATCAACTTTGAGAGTGATGAAGATTCAGATTCAGACAGCGCTGAAGAAAGAAACTCCGACTAACTTTATTGTACAGAAAAGCTTACACCAGTAGCTTACCTAATTTTAGAATGCATTTTTCTGTATGAATTCTGTAAAATAAATACCATGCATAAAATTTGGAGGACCCCATTTGGATTTTTATTCAGTACCTTTAAGCTATCAATTAAATATGGTAGTTTCATAGTGTCTCTCTCTGATCAATAATTGTCATACTTAATGATTATGCAAGTACAGATCTATAATTTTATTATACTATTATTTTTGTTCTCATTTGAGGTTAATATTGCTTATAACCTAGATATGTAAATAATAAATTTTATTATTTTACAAAAAGTTTGGCAACAATGTAAATTTTTCAACACAACCCACCTTGATGACGTGCACGCCACTTTGTTTGGCGTTGACTATATGTACGTTATGTCTGTAACATCCCTTTGCTAACCGGAAGTTAAAAATACGGTTGAACGTGTCAAGAAAATGAGATGTGACTACACGAGTGATAAAAAAAGGATGACACCAAGTACAGCGTTGGTCAAAAACTTGACATGAGACTGTGCAAAATTCATTTCATTTCTTTAATGGTTCTTTCAGATCCTAATAATAATAATAATTTATTGATGTTAATACACGATGGTGCTTACACAGTTCAGATTTGTAAAAAAACTCAGAGAAGACAGGTAAATGAAGGTAGATATGATAAAATTTGCATACAAACATTCATATCATATCACAGAGATCATCATCGTTGGATTCCTCCAATGAGAATAAAGCTTTTTTGAGGAGGAACGTTTTAATTTATTTATAGAAAATGTCAGAATCCAATGATTTTACAACAGGTGGCATCTTATTGAAGAACTTCATTCCATAAAAATTGGCGCCGTGTTCTGCACATATATTATTTTTGTTTCGTAGGATGACAGAACACAAAAGGTGCAGTGCTCTGAGCATACTTGTACAAGTTTTAGGTCTACTGATAAATGTGATTAAGATTTTAACTCGAAATTTCGCAAAATACCTGAGATATCCCACCTTAATGTTAATAATGTGTCGAAGCTCCTCTGTTCGCATACATTCGTTAAGTCGTTGCGCATTGATTGGATTAGGTCATTATACAATAGAGTAATCAAAAACATACAGAAAATATGTAAGTAAATAAGACACATTAGTAAATGGCAGCCAAAGATAAACAAATATTTAAATACGGGTATAACATAAAAATAGACAAACACTTAACTAAGTCAAATATTGCTCTGTTTAAAATATATAAATAAAATAGATTTATTTTAAAAACATAGAATATAGAAATTGAATAAGGAAGGTAGCTGTTGAAATTGACACAACACATCACAGTAATGGTCGCTTATCAAAGTATCACAAGCACTCATCCAAAGACTAATATGCTTTACTTTTTGTTAGTGCCTTGACGGATTCCCAGCTGCTTGAAAGAAGCTCTACAGCTAGAGCTTCTCTTCAGACCTTGAACTAAGCATACCACTCTTTTTTGCTTAATAAATACTCGATTTGTTTTGGTGAAAAACGCCCCATAGTTACAAATTTGATGCATAGCAATAAGTCAACAGCAAAAATTTGTCAAAAACAAAACGTACTGCAGTTTATTTAAGGGGAAATATTTTGCATATGTAGCCAATATGAGTATC